TAGTAGTATATATATTATATATATATATATATATATATATATATATATATATATATATATATATATATATATATATATATATATATATATATTGTGTGTGTGTGTTTGTATGTATAAATATATAAATATATACATATATAAATATACATATATACGAATATGTATATATATATATATATACATTTATATATACATTTATATGAAAATATATATACGTACATACACATATATGTATAAATATACCGTAGAAAATGATATTAAATTTTGATAAGATATAGCTAATATTGTAATACAAACGTGCTTATCAGAGAGAACCTGTACAGCGTGTACATCAGTTTCTCAAACACACCACCTGGTACAGATGATGGTATTCCAAACATGGACACGTGTACCCACTTTCCATGACGTACATTTTTTTAGGGTTAGAGGTATACTATAATATAGTAGAAGATTTGGATGACATACGCAATATCGGGGAGTTGGAACTTATAGAGGTAGTACTGCCGTTTCGAGACTCATCACCAGGCACAGACAGCTGCGATTTCTGGGGAGCGTCCAGCTGTAGGTAAGCAACGGATGGGCTATTTATCTTTCAAGTAAATATAATACCATGAATTGTGCTTGTCGGTCTGCTGGGTAACCTATCGTTGTCTGTTTTACATAGTCTATCGTCCATATCAACATCATAGACACTTATATACATATATACTTAGAGTCAACGAGACATTCCTCAACTCAAATACATGAATTACGCGTACGTATACGTACCTGAGACGAGCTATTGGCTCTGTTGGGTTGTCTGTCGCTGATACTTCTACTACGTCTTATCAAAGGAGACGCTAGCATTGTATTGCTCAGATTGGCAGCTAAAGATGAAGATAAAGTGTGTGTGTTTGGTAACTTTCTAAGGAATACGTTTACAAATGGAATGTCTGAAATCCCTCATTCAGACTGTTGAATGGTTGCGTTCGATATTGGTATATATGGTGTGTACGGGTGAAATGGATATAACCGATACGACGTATGAAATATACATCTTGAAATACATACAACTTACGTTTTGCTCGCAAGAGTGAATGGTACTGTTCTGCACTGCCTGTTGCTGCACTCGAACGTCGCAATTTCACCAGTCGCGGGAACTTCTTCAGTAAATCCAACCAATCCTCCGAGGATTCTTTCTAAATAGAAATTATAGTATAGCCAGAAAATGTAAATACAGAAACCATAGGAACAGTGCAACTGCAACGACTATATAAACCCCCCAGAAATGTACTAGCAACAGCTGATAAAAGTACCGTAGTAGGAGGCGAAACACTCGAGCACGCCACGATCCTGGCTTTCCAAAGCAAAGCCTCGACTTCGGAACTGGCGCGCAATAGCCACACTTTGCCACTCGCACTCACTATCGACAGCAATTGCACTGAGGTGATATATGGCATTAGGGTTTAGGGTTTAGTATATTCATGTATGAATGTATCATTTTGTACCCGATCGAATATATATAGGCCTATTCTATGCCTGTATGATTGTATATATAGCCCTATTTTATAGCTGTATGTAAGTTTATCGGCATAGTTTATACGCAAATGAATGTTCATAGGCTTATTCTATACCAGTATGAATGCAAATAGGCTAATTTTATACCCATATGAATGTATGTAGCCATATTTCATACCCGTATGAATGTGTATAGGCCTATTTTATACCCGTATGAATGTACATAGGTCTATTTTATCCCCGTATGAATGTTTATAGGATTATTCTATGCCAGTATGAATGCATATAGGCCTATTTAATACCCGTAAGAATGAAATAGGCCTATTTTATACCCATATGGATATATTTATAGGCCTATTTTGTACCCGTATTAATATATATAAGCCTATTTTTATACACTTATGAATGTTTAAATAGTATGAACGTATATAGGCGTATTTTATGACCGTATGAATATATATAGGCAGATTTTATTCCCATATAAATGTATATAAGCCTATTTTGTATCCGTATGAATATATATAGACATATTTTAAACCCGTATGAATGCATATAGGCCTATTTTATACCCGTATGAATGTATATATATGCCTTTTTATGATATCCAAGGCACTCACCATCAGCTTGGTCAGATCCAGCCTCCTCATTCTCCACCAATTCTACAGCGATATCTAACAGCCAGATGGGCTATAAATTGAATAGATTCAGAGTACACGAGTCAGCCATACTGTACAATTGTAGAACAGCCAGACGGGGTACCAATGAAAGAGATCAATAGCACACGATTCAGTCACGGCAAACAACTTCAGGACGGCCAGATACACTAAAACTAGATTAGATGAATAGTAATACGAGTCAGTCATAATGGTCAATTATAGAACAGCCAGATAGGCTATAAATATAACAGATTTAGAGTACGAGAGTCAGCCATACTGTACAATTGTAGAACAGCCAGACGAAGTATAAATAAAAGAGACCAATAGCACACGATTCAGCCACGGTAAACGAGAGGCAGTTAAAGTGGACAATTACAGAACGTATGGCTTTTTCATATAGAATTCAGGTTTTAGGTCTATAGTAACGGTGACCAAATGAGGCTATTTATAGAACAACCGGATCGTGCGTGAGATAGTTATAGAACGCCATTAAAGTGGAAACTGCGTCACATCTACGGTATTTCCTTCCGATATTTATGAACCCTAATACCTAAAACCTAAAACCCAAAACGAACAGTGCAGAATACGTGGTTTAGTCCACACCACCTTTACACACAACCTCTGCAGTATCAAACTTTTACTAAAACCCTAAGCCCCATGCATAAGCATCAACGGGCGCAGCAGAAAGATTGCTTGTAATAACTGGAATACTGCTTATATTAGCATACAATTCTAAATATAGGATAGGGTAAGTTTAGTTCAAGTGTCACGCGTCCCGTGTCACGGGTCACATGTCACAAACTCACCTCCGCGCACAGCCGAGGTGTCAGTTGCGACTGGCTGTACCGAACTGTCAGCAACAACAGCCCCTCGAAAAGCCAGAGCGTCACACGTTGGGAATTGGCCTGTGAAGTGAATATACCAGATGTAGATTGAATATATAAGTATATATACTATACAACTACTATATATATATATATATATAGGTAACGTAAATAAAATTACCATAGATAGGTCTTATATATAAGTAATTATATACAAGTGAATAGACAATACATATATTTAAGTACACACACAAATATGTACTGGCTACTGTTTTTTTATCCATACCCATCTATAGCCATACGAATGGCTCATCTGTTTAAATCCACACATTACTTATATAATGTGTATACGTACCGTTTTGTTTGGGTACCATTGCATATCGCCAAACAACACCAACGGCGCTTCTTCCGAGCCCGCATCGCCCTAATTTGGTAATAATATCGAATAATTAATTAAAAAAAGTGTAATGTCAACATTACTTTAAATTTGGGTCGATAAAGAATAGCATACCGCACGTTGAATGATGAAAGAATAACAACACGGAGAATTAACAATGATATGTCAATATATGATTATGTGCTCACGATTATGTTGAAAAACAACTTATATATATTTATATATATACTCAAGCAGATACATATGCATATAAAAATGAATCCATACGTGCAGGCGCCTAAGTTCAGCAGGGGTCCAGTCATGTGTGAGTGCCGACATTCTTGTTAACAGTGCTTCATACGCCCCACTGCGCATAGTGAGTCCGATGTCTTCGTATGTCTCTCTCAAACGGCGCAGGCGCTCATCATTACGCACTACTTTAAACAGGTGTTCAAACTCCAGCTGTTATCGATCGGGAGAAGTGAAAGGCGTCAGTGTACACATGTTTTGTGTACTTGTACAAGAATATGTACATGTGCACACATATAAGTATCATTACATGCTTTGCATATACGTATATGTACATGTGCACACATATAAGTATCATTACATGCCTTGCGTATATGTATATGTACATGTGCACACATATAAGTATCATTACATGCTTTGCGTATATGTATATGTACATGTGCACACATATAAGTATCATTACATGCTTTGCGTATATGTATATGTACATGTGCACACATATAAGTATCTTTACATGCTTTGCGTATATGTATATGTACTGGTGCTTGCATAAATAAATTATTATATGCATCATAAGCAATATATTTTTAAGTATGAGCGTATACAAGTAAATGTATACGTATAGGTAAATGTGCAAGCATAATAGCATGTATACCGATGAGTAAATTTACAATCGTAAGTATATTTTATATTTATAAACTACAAACACATCACATTGTATATACTACAAGGTGAATTAAATACAGATATAGTACATTGTGAACACTCAAGATAGTAATGAATAGAGAAAGTATATGT